ATGTCGAGCTCCCTGGTTAGTCAAACCGATCGTCGAATGGCCAGAACTCCTCAATTCAGCGAAGTTGATGCTTGCGTTATATATGTAAACCGTGTAAGGTGAAGGAGGGGGCAGCAACGTTGTGTTAGAGCGCCGCTAGCGGCGTTGGCGCGCTTCGCGCGGATATCCGGCTGCAGAATGTCTAGTGAGTAATGGTGAATATACTACTAGTACTAGTACTACTACTACTACTAGGGACCCAATTATAACCAAACATTACATGACCTTTTAAGTTTTAGTACTACTAGTACTACTACTACTACTAGTACTAGTAGTAGTACTAGTACTAGTACTAGTAGTGGCTAGTAGTAGTACTACTACTAGTAGCCTAGCGCAGTACTAGAATAAAAAGTCAAAGAACATTGCTTACCGGTGGCGCCGGTAGAACTATATTCTACAATACTAATAGACTATAAGTAACCTATTATTATGCCTCGTGCGTGACTGCCTGGGGCTTTGTCATAAAACTAGAATAGAATTTGGGCTTTGTCTGTACTCTTTGGCCTTGCTCTTTGGTACTCCATACACGGTGTTTATTTATAAATAGACCTTGCGCCAAGACGATGACTGAGCGCCATCTGGTATCAAATACCGTAACGATTAGGTAACGAATAGGAATTAAAGATGGCTGCCCCCATTAATGCGATACGGGAAAATAAGAATGTTATTGATAAACATCCAGTTTTCCGTAGAGATGCATTGAAACTAAAAGATTATGTATATAAAGAAGTAAGAATAACAATGCAAGACGGAAGAGAACTCATTGGTTGGGTTTATACAATAGATCCAGTATCAGAGAGGTTTGTACGGCGCAAATCCACTTTAGGCACCTTAGGTATCACGAAGTGATGCACAGATTTCTGTGTATCATCAACTGATGCACAAACTTTCCGTATATCAAGGAATGATGCAAACACCCTAACCCTAACCCTAACCCTAAGTCATAAAGTATAACCTTGCTCCTTAGGTATCACGAAGTGTGTTACTGTTAGGGTTAGGGTTAGGATTGGGGTTTAAGGGTTTTTGCATCATTCCTCGATATACGGAAATTCTGTGCATCAGTTGATGATACACAGAAATCTGTGCATCAGTTGATGATACACAGAAATCTGTGCATCACTTCGTGATACCTAAGGTGCCTAAAGTGGATTTGCACCCTGTGGTTAGAAATATTGACTGTAGTCATTACCGGTGAGTAATTGTCAAGAGTGACAGATTGACATAACCATAATATTATAGATTGAGTCTGTCAGTGCTGTGACCCCTTTGCCAATGATGGCTGAAAACTAGCTGAATGTTATTATGGCCTGTATTTACTTGGCAATGTAGTAGGTGATAACAGGTGAAATATATGGATTATATGGTTGTATATTCATTGGACAATTCACACGCACGCACATCCACTTCATCTCCCCTCTTTTTGAAACATTGTACATTGCCGATGTATACAGCGACACACTAGATGAATATGCATCAGCCAACAGCTAAAGGTTTATGCAGTTTGAAGATGCAGCTAGGTTTCCAAGTTGAAAACAGTCAGTGTTACTTTGCTTGGGATAACGATCTACTGCTATCAGCGGTTGTGTTCTTAGTGACATCTAGTCAGATGAATTGCAAGCAAAGGGTAACAGTCTATATACGTTTGTACCTGTCCCTGTTTATAACCAAGTTGCAATCACAGTATAATTTAATAATTATTGTGAATAATAAGCTGCTAATTATGTAGTAAGACCTATAAAAGGAAGAGATCACATTCTAGTCAGATAGTTGACAATACAAACACTCCACCCCCTGAATTCTTGTGTTGCAGCTGTCATGTGTCTTTATCTATTGGTTGTAAGAAAAGTGGCTGGCTGACTGTAGCTTACTTAACATGTCTATAGGTCTTAGCTTGGCTCAATCATATTTTATGAATCCAGTATACATTAACACAGGGGTAGAAATGAATTTATGAACACAGGAGTCCAACGGACTCCCTACCCTCAAAAAGAGGGAGTCCGCAGTAAAATGAGGGCGTCCGCAGTCTGAGGTTCAAAATTAAAGATATTAAAACAATAACGCATGTGCTTGTTTTTAAGATTCATGCGGTCGCACGTCTGCCAAATTTTCTTTGGACATTAGCTGAAAAAATACGGTAATTCCACGAGTTAGTATGGCAGAATTTTCAGGGAGTCACACGGGCTCCTGCATATGTCAAATCAGGGAGTATTTGACTCCGGACTCTCGTTAATTTCGCACCCTGTTATCATCATTTGTCTTCATCATAACCATACGCCCAATGTAATGCTAACCCATCTTTTATAATTTACCACAGTAGCTCTCCCCCTCAGCCGTGGATTTGCTCCCACAGAGACATGTGCTTAGCGTTGTACGAGTCAAATGCTAAAAAGTGATTGTTTTGTTATATATAACCAAGTTAACTATTAAATATGATCGCATGGCCACATAACTATTTTTATTTTGTTATTTACAGTTTTGCTATCATCAAATTTGCAAGTGATGCTATTCCAAAGGAAGCAGATGGATCAGAACTCACTCTTATTCTTGGACATGCTGTAAAGGAGATACGTGTCACTAACAACGATGTGGCGAGTCATCGATCAAGACTTGATTTCCTATTCAGTGCTGGTACTGGTATGTTCAGCAAAGAAGAGATGGAAAGCAGGAAGGTGCGTCTCAAAGAGTGGTTGGAAAAAAACAGAATACCAGTAGAATTCCTCGGACAAGATGATAGTGTGCTCAATGTTGCAGATGCAGCAACAATCGTACCACCTTACCGCGTTAATAACTGTCAAAGCACAAATGTAATTATCCTTGGACGGATTCAAGCTCTAATAAAGAGTATGCCAGACTCGTGACCAATGCAAAGGATCTGTTCTCTGAAAAATTTGCTTTTTGGATATATATCTTAATTATATAAGTACGTCTGTATATAACCACGTGCGTGTTTTTAACAATCTAGGCATTTTGCAAATAAATTTCATTACTACCAATAAAATTTTCACAGAAAACATATAGACAAACTTGTATCCCTTACAAGTTGATATGCCTTACAATTTACCCATTACAAAAGACATTCATTTGCTTGTTTTCTTTACTCTGATTGGCTTTATTATACAAAAATGTACAAAAAACGTTTGTGTAATACTTATTACTCATGATAATAAATATATGAAAATAAGGTAATGAATCATTCTTACATGAGCTTTTTGTCATCAATGTAAGTCATTTCATGACCAGTATTGATGACAAGCCTATGAGACATTAGTAGCCAAAGATTTCTAACATGTCCTAGGAACATGAAACATGACATATATGACAATTTCTGCTATGCTACACTTATTCATCCAATTTACAGTCAAATATTTAAAATCAATTGTTAGTGCTTTTAAGAAAATCAGAAGCCATGTCGGGCAATCAAGCTCTTCATCTCCGACTTCTAATTGGAGACTAGGTAATCTCAATCAGTTTGAAGACGTATACATCAAGCTGTGAAAACACCAGGACTGTGTTGCGATTGTCAAATGTAAACAGTAGGAAAATAAGGCGTGTTGTTTAGGCAATTAAAGCATGTCGGAGATTGATAGGATGTCGTGAATTAGTTCCAGCCTTGATGGCATGTGGGATGCGACACGACTTGAAAAGGATTGGGTAGAAGTCTGATACAGTGCTATCACAAAATTGATTTTAATATTGTAATTTGCATCATTGATTCCTATATGGCATGACCTAAACGACTGCGTTTCATAACGCCGGTACAAAGCCTGCAGGCTTTTCCTGTGGCGCATCAGCTGCATACACTCGTCTCGACATTATCGTGAAGAACTTGAACCTGTCTCCCATCTTCTGTGGATTCATTATCATGTCATAGCCGCTAATCAGGTCATTGTGATTCTCGGCAGGACTATTCATCAGCAGCTTCTACAACAATCGAGAAACCAACGATTACAAAGGTAGCTCATCGCAGGTTCACTGTCTGCGGCCGAGTGACGATGACACACAGTGACGACCAATCTGCATATATCACCTTCACACCCATCTATAATAGAAAATCTCCATTGGTTTTCGTTGATGGTCTTATCTTTCTGTCTGGGTTAGTATTCAAGCTTCCCCTAGGAAATAATGCTTACAAAAGTGTACTAACTGACAGGATATATATAGAGCAAGCAGTAACCAAACAATTACAACATTTAGTAAACAAAACATTTGTTGTCTACAGTAGAACTCGCATAAGACGCCATTGTCTAACTCGTCAATTCGCTTAAGTCATCATGGAAGTCAGTCCCGATTTTCTCATGATAAATCCATTTGAATAGCCCCGCCAAAGTCGTCGCCCTCAGACAGGTCCCACGTAATACAAACAACAGTAAAATTCTATCTGTATGTCGTCGTCAGAAATGCCGATGGCGCAGTGTATGCAGCCCAATGTACAGCAAATTCCTGGTGAAATGATGACTCATTGTTTTGGACACTCTCCAAGTCGTCGAAATGTCAGCTTTGTAAGTCGTCATTTTGGCGACTTACGTGTATTTCGTCATTTTCGTACATCAGCGCAAAAATGCTGGTCCCAAAAGTGCCGACTTATGCAAGTTTTACTGAGCTATGTAATAGAGTATAAGCAATAGCTTATACATAGCCACTCCGGCTCCCCTGTATATATACATCACTATTTATTAAAACAAGGTTTGGGTTGTGTCTAAATAACTAAATGTGTGCAGCGTATATTGGTGTATATCTAACAGCTTCCAGTGGCAATGTGTGGCTTTGCTATAAGCAGTCACAAACAAGGTGCAATCAGTGAACAGGGCTGCAGAAACATGACTTGGGGTGCACCACCCTGTTTGAATAACAGTGACAAAATAAAGGGGATTAAATATCAAAACCAAACGAGTTTACGATGCTTACAATGCTCAAATATCTACGGCATGAAATAAAAAAAAACATGTTGATTGGTTATTATAAATTAAACTTTCCATATTCAGGTAAATTTAAAAGACCAGGAATAAATTACGTAAGTTTGATGAAAATCCAATTTTAGTGCCCTTTACATGATCACAATTGTGATGTCATGACATGAAATCAAAATTGTGCTATTTACGCCTAAATCATACAAGTTGACAGGCATGCACCTTACCTTGAACCTCACATCTATCGCCATGTTTGTAAGAAAGGACTGCTGAGGAATTGGGCCGAATATTGCCACTGAAACATAAATAGCGAGTTCCTTGACTATGGAGAAACATGTCACAAAGACAAAAAAACAATGCAGGTGAGCAAGTCGAGTCAAAACATTGCAGCGACAAACAGTGCAAACTGTTACAAGCGACGTCAAAAACGCAGCGAATGGCCCCAGCAACATTTCATGCAGTAATGACAGGAACTAGGTAAAAGTTCATCTCCTTTCTCGTTACACAATAGCAGACATTTTATGTTTGTAACTTGGGAGTGTTAAATGTTACATGGGCATACAATTTATTTCAAAGTCTAGCTAAATATTTTCCTTTTTAGCTGGACTACTTTTCTTAAATCTCAAACATAACAGTTGTTCATTGATGCTGCAGTTTGTCTTGATATTTAGGCTCTATATCTATTAAATCCTATTGAACCAAAAAGGTAACAGGAGTTTAAACAAATATTAGGACACTCTCAGTCTCACTACAGAATGCTGCTACTGCGGTAATAGCTTCCATGCTCTAACAATTGGATAAGAATTGTTGGCACACATTTGTATAGTACCTATTGGTTACACCATGAATATGAAGGTATGGATATGTTCATGGTTATACTTATACCAATTCCCATCTTGTCACAACACTCTAAGAAGCATCACCCTACCGTCGTCACCGGCCTGTTGTCTCAGATAGGCAAAGTCAACATCGGCTGTGAGATCGGCTGTGCCAGGTTCACACAGCACGTCATGTAGCTTGTGACTCCGGAATCCCTGCAAGAAAAACATGGGAAGTGCAGTCAGCCTTTTACTAGCAAGTATATTTTGACTAGTTTTACAAATATATACTGGTGGCCAGGCAGAGTGCTGTCTTTCTATGCTAATTCTTAAATCAATTGCATGTTTATGCTGTGCAATATTGTTAGGTAATATAATCAGTATTGCAAAGGTGCTACGCCTACATTATCATGACCACGGACACATAACAACTAATCAGAAAGAAATTGTGAAAGTATCCAAGTAATTTAATGATCTTGCCTCTTGATTTATGATTGTTACAGATTGGTTATAGCAAAAACCAATGCATGCATCTAAATTTCACAAATTTTTTTTCTCTGCAAAAGCTAACTTATCACACAGGTAGCAATGCTTAAAATTCTTGCCTACAGTTAGTTGGACGTTTGGACTATAAAAATTTATGCCAAATAAACCCAAGTATATACATGTAGCCATTGCATAAAAATTAAGTGCACTTACTCGGAAAGTGTCTGTGTTCGTACCATTGTGGCCATAGTCGATAATCAGGGCACATCCACCGTCTTCAGTTATTCTCATTGCCAGCGACTGTGCTATAACACCTCCCTCTGGGCAGATCTCGACATGGTCTCGGGTCTCTAGTTTCTAACAAAGATTGGTGAGATTACCACTACAGTCACCTTGCTTGAATGCTTGGTCATGAATATGTACTCTTAGATGTGCATGTTGAAGTAAGATTGCAACTCATGATGGAACTTTAAATAGCAGTTTATATTAATAAATGTCCTGAAATGTTTCTATAGTTTAGGTGCGCACACTATACCAACTGTGTGGAAGTCATTGCTCACGAAATCATAGGGTGATAATCTGATTGACATGGGCACAGATGGTCCCATCACAATATGTTTCAACTACATCAATGAAAATCTAATATCACATGAGTTAGCTGTTTATTAAATATAATATACAGTCATCTATTTTATCGTATGAGAATTACTGGAATCAGTCTCATCTAGTCAACTATACTCACATTGATCAGTACAGTGGCTGGTGTGACAGACGGTGCCAGAACAAAGCGGAGGCTGGGCATGAGTGCATTAGAAATAGAACTATCAATGTCCACCATTATCTCTCGCCAGCCTGCTCCAGTTCTCTATGAGAAATTAAGATATTTAAGACATTGAGGTACAGTTAATGGCAAGGGATAAGACAACCTTCTAAAGCTTTTAGCATTCTGGCTGCATGGACGTAATGACAATTTCTAATAGATTATACAATAGATCATTCTTGATTATAGTAACATTAATTTTTAGCAAAAAGGAGGAGTACAATATCTATCTACCTACCTGCCTGCCTGCTTGCCTACCGGCCTGTCTGCCTACTTGCCTACCTGGCTGCCTGCCTGCCTGCCTGCCTGCCTGCTTGCCTGCCAGCACGCACGCCCGCACGCACGCACGCACGCACACACACACACATACACACATATAGATAAGGGAAGGTAGCATGTTTCAGCAATTATGTATTTTATTTCGAATATGACTCTTTAACCTTCAGAAAAAAATCAATGCATTCTCACCTGAAACTTGTGTATGGGTAGAGCATCGAAGAACTCATGTGCCACATAGACCGCTGGCATGCAAGGCAGGTCGTTGATCGAGCGATACCAATGCACAGGGACCCCACTCTTACTCAGTCCCATCCTATATCTCCCAGTCACGTCTGCGTCTGACGGCAGTGCTGAAGCTGAAGCAGGAGACGTGTTTTCGTTGCCGGGACGACCGCTCTCGCTGGAGGCATCGCGTTTCACGTTGATGTCTTCACACAGCTTTTCGTTGCCGGGACGACCGCGCTCGCTGGAGGCATCCCGTTTCACGTTGGTGTTTTCACACAGCTTCTCTGCCTGCATTTCGCTCAGTTTTGGACTGACTTCGACAAGATGTAGCGACGTACGGTCGCGTAAATCGGCAAACTGTGCGATCACCTGTTGTGCAGAACAGCAGTGATTTAATTAGCATACTATCAATGTAATAATTAAGCAATATTAATGATGCAAAAAGCTTAATCAGCCGTAGTAACATAAATTCATCTAGGCACAGTTTAGTTTAAAAGGGCTACCGGAACTGTTTGAGCACCATTATACTGAACACCATTGGACACCCTTAACATAATATATCTATATTCTCTACCTTACACCTACCTATAAGCCTCGCACCACCAGACCACTACCAGCAGCGTGATTATATCCATCTACACCCCTAGGAAGAATTTCTTCCCATAATTTAATCACACCCATCCTCTTCACATCGATTTCCTCGATGTGCTTTACGCTAACACCTCACCATACGCAGAGCAGTAAATACACACAGAACTGTAAGCGAGATATACATGGATTTCTCGTACCCTCAGTATGTCTGCAGCCAGCGTGCCACGGCCTGGTCCGAGCTCTACAAGATTCAACGTCTGATCGGGGTGGCCGACCCTCAGCCACTCATGGATACACCAGACAGCTACCAACTACATGCACAGGTGTGGTTTAGTGGATACGGCATCAGAAATTCTGATAGGGTCCTTGACGGGATCAGAAAGCAGTATGGAATATTCAATTGAAGATATCACAGCATGCAGCGACTGTGTCAATGCTAATAAACAGAATTTAATTCAATCAGCCACTTATCACAGCCAAGTTGTGTCGTAGATGAAATTGTGATTTCCACTCCTTATAGAAATAAGCAATTGCAAATAGGAATTCTACCGTAGGCATAGTCATTATTTGTTAAACATGTGAGTAATTTTACCAACCTCACCAAAAACCTGACTGATTTCAGGAGATGTGATGAAATCTCCTTTTTGTCCAAAGACATCTTTATGCATGTAGTAACCCTGTAAAATAATTAGTAGATAAGTGCACATATCTCAAAGGTTCAATTAAGAATTTTTTTATGGCAAGGCAATTGTTGCATTGGGTTTAATCAGATATTTTTAGGGCACCATGGCAAGTTAAAGCAGCAGCAAAGCAAACATTGCCTTCAATGACAGGTTATCAAGGCCATTTACTTACGAACAAAACTTTTTCTGTGGGAAAAATAGAATTTATGTGGGACTTTACAGGAAAGGGGCGGAGGCAAACCAGGTAGGGCAACCTCAGTAGGGTAGCATTAATTGTTGAGGATATCATTTAATTTTCAGGTACATTGTGGCCAATAAGGCAACCACAACACTGACTATTGCTCCTGACATCCAGAACATAACAAATAGTATGTGTGCTTCTGTATAATGTAATAACTATATACATAGTAGAATTTTTCATGGGATCATAGTGGTAACCTGAATACTAAAAGTTGGAAAACGTGTCAATGACATTAAAATTTATCAATATGTGATGTCCCAACAATACCACAAGTCTTGAGGTGGTTAGGCCTTTGCTGCGATGGGCTGATCTATGTAATTTACTAACTTGGAAATAAGTTTATACACACACTCACACACCGCGAAAGTTCTATAATACCCACAACGAGGGGAATTTAATGCACTCACCGACACAGGATTCGTGAGTACTTCCTGCATGTAACTAGCTACAGTCAACGGTCCTGCAGCTTGTATGCGTCTAGAGAGATGTTGCATTAAATGTGTAGTATCACCTGCTGTCTGTGAGGATGACATCTGCCATTGCATACAATGTATCAGCCTGCGGATACCTGAATCAATGATGGAAGAACCCAAAAACAATTAGAGTTGAAGGTGCAGTGTCCGCGCTGACACTTACAAGTACAGTCCAACCCCTTCTGATTAGATAAGTTCCTGGTCGTTGTTATGTGAGAAAAAGATGAGGTATATGTCCAACAACACTACCTGCTGTAACAGTGTGTGTTATGTTTGGTGGGAATTAAATCAAATTAGGGCAATGGTTGATGTCCCAGGCAGTTTTATGAATGCCAAAGCGGACACACCACATTTAGGCTGGAACCTTTTTCAAAAGTTACTATTCAACAATAAAGTAGGTATGGTAGGTTATCAAGCCAGGACAGAAACATTCGACATTACACTTCAGCTGCTTAGTTATATGACCTAGCACACGAAACACTGGACTGCATGTTGTCTGCTGCCAGTAATGCTAGTTTAGCTAATTCATGAAAAAGAAGCTCGTTGTTTATTTATTCAGTAAGGACAATCTAGTGTAGCGCATACGTATAGCCTTGTGGGCTATTGCTTATAAACACTAAACCAAACAAGCTATTTTCTGCTGTTCACACGGCCCCAAAGACTCGGATGAGTCGGATGTCTGTAATGTCTCGGATACTGTAAAATGTTACATACAGTCCGACCTCCTTTATCCGGCCACGTCGGGACCGGCACCCATCCGGATATGGGATTTGGCCGGATATGAGTTATGCTCAAACACAGCATTTCTATGCAGTTCAGTAGGGGTTATGCATGTGATAATGTATTTAGTCGTTGCTACGATTGATTATTTGTAACAAACTGTCGTGTTTTATAGTTTATATGAAATGGAAATAAAATGAAATAAAACAGAAATTTTACCACTTCGGTTTTTTTTTTTTTGTGTGTGCTGAGATCTAGGGCTGTAACGATCGATACACTCGCGGCGTTGTATGCCTAGGGCTGTTACATGTGCGCGGCAGCGGTGCCGTTGATTGAAGTACGGGGCTCGATCGATTGCGAGTGCGTAGCAAGGTAGTGCGTTTCGCTAACGTCTGCTAGTAAAAGTTGTTTGTTAACGGACGAAAGTTGTCCGGAGGCATAGCGGACAACACACACACACACGCACGCACGCACGCTCGCACGCACACACACACATTTTTGTTCATTCATATAGTATACAATGTATATATCTTTTATTCCTTGGTAGTTTTTACAGCATCAACAAGTGAGTATGTATTCGTGAAATATTCGTATTAATATGGCCATATATTTATACATGTACATGTACATGGGCGTTTGCTCTTACGGTAAGTGTGTTTGTTTTGTGCATGTGATAGCTGTGCGCTCTTACGATAATTAATGTGTACATCGTGCGAGAATCATTGGTACATCGCGCGAGTTTTGAGCGAGCTTTAAGCGAGATTTTTAGGTGGAAATGAATGAAAAAAAAGAGAGAACATACACTGCGAGATCGCGACCGGTTAATAGAGATTTACGGATAACGGATGGCCGGATAAAGGAGGTCGTACTGTATACGATATTGTCATAAATAGTACATAAATAAAAGATTGCAGTCAGTAAAACATAATGCATCGACTACACTACACAGTACTGAACTACAGATCTATGGAATAGCTAAGGCAGCCAACATCATGATCATGGCATTATTGCACTTACATAATAGCAGGTGTAACTTTTTTATTCACAGATTGTATTGTAAAGATATTACTTGTACCTTTATAATACAGTGCTGCTACTCAGGATATTACAAAAAAGTATAAAATCTGTCCAGAAAAAAGTATCAAAATTGTCTAAAAAAAGTATTAAAAAAGTATAAATTTGTATCAACCTACCATGATTTGTAGTCACTTGTTACTTAATACATTGTTACCGAATACATTATAGCCTATGTGCAGCATGTAAACAAGCTTCAGGAATGATGTGTGCAATGCCATGAGGAGTTGTCTCTTGAACCGTCAGTCTGGAATATTTCAATGCAGTGTTTCCCCTGGCCAAAAAGGTCTGGGAAGTGGGAAATGTTTTTTGTGATGTGTTTGCGCGTTTCAAGGTCTTAGCAAAGCAAGCAGCGCAGGTGCTGGCCAAGCTAGGGGGTCCGGGAAATTTTTGAAAGAATGGTGCAATTTGGTGCATCCCAAGCTATTCTGAGCTGTATGAGACTCTTGAATCTCTTTTTCAAGTTGTCAAAAGTTTCGTCAACGAGGCGGCGTTTTGGACAAATTTCGGTGTGGCGGCTGAGAATCAATGCAGAGGAAACACTGCAATGTGCATTGCTCATTTGACATTTGGTCACTGACAGCAGAGAGCTGAGAGCAAAAACACTCCACTGAACAGAGCACACATCACTCCTGCAACAAGACTAGCAAAGCACAACTTTAATCTAATCAAATACAGTGTACCTAAATGTATGTCCGAAGAGTTTTGACCATCTTTGGCAAAAAAAAGTATTTAAAAGTATTTATGCATGAAAAAAGTATGAAAAAAGTATAAAAAGTACATTTTCTTAAAAAAAGTATAATACTTTTATACAAGTGCCCGGCAGAGCGAACAGGCACTCAACTGACGTGTACTGTACGCCGGGTATTCTTCTGATAAAAACTCACTGGGCAACCGGATCAAGTGCGCCTCCCCGCACCGCGATTAATAGGCCTTATGCTATGTACCGTAAATACAAGTAATAAAGATATAGCGCTGTGTAACTTTAAATGACTTTGCGCTATAATTAACTGTTATCATGGATATGCGTCGAGCGCGAGAGCGTAGTGGTGGTGGTGGGGAGGGTGGGGAAGTTGGAGCGGGTGGGTGGAGGCAAGGAAGCTAGATATAACAAGGAGACGGAAGGCCGCCGATATCTGGCCCAAATCTCTTGCTATACTGGAATAATAATAAAATTTGGTCATATTGTAAGAACAGATTAGTGTCTTGATTGTCTCTGGTTAGAGTCTGCACAGCAGTTCAGCTGATTATCGGTCCAATAGATGGCCGTCCTCGAGGCGAAAAAGCACACAGGCCCAATCCCGCTTCCTCCTGCCTTGTATATAATTTAGCTCCTTGGGTAGGGGGCTCTAATAGCAAAAGCAGTTCAGTCCTTTGTTAAGCAGTATCAACAAATGCGATGTTTAACCCTCGCTCTTGAGGTGCAAAAGCGTTATCAGACACTGCTTACGGTGACTGTGGATTACTCTTCAGCACGTCAGCGAAAGTAAGATTTCATGTCCTTTTCAATTAAAGGTGGATAAAATGCGTAGGTCAGCGCTGAAACAAAAAGTTTTGCAGCATCGGTGGCGTTCCGTAACCATGTTCCATCAGAAACTATGTCTGATATCTGACCTATCCCCCCACTGCCCTTTGACCTGTGACCCCCAATTTTGCGCTGGTGATGGGTTTCCTCCCTATCACACTATACATCGAATATTAAGAGCGTAGGTCGAGCCGTTGAGATTTGTGCCGCAATTCCGTATTTCCTCCTATACCTTAAGTTAAGGGGGAAATATTCCCCCTCCATTGACACATCTTGACCTTTGACCCTTGACCCCCAAATTCGACATCCCGAGTCCTTTTCGCGATCCCCCACCGACGTCCCGAATATCAAGACCATACATCGAGCAGTTAAGATTTGTGCCTAACTGTTGACAGACGCACGGACAGACGGACGGACGGACAATCATGCGATTCTACAAGCTGCATCTGACTTCGTCAGCTGAGCTAAAAAGTATAAAGTGGCAGCACTGATAATACCGGAGAGGGTAGAGCCTGGTCAAATATCTAGGATATTAGGAGGAATATTAGTGGCGCTAATGACACTATAGACTGTAGACTAGTTTAGCATCCTGGCTTAGTTTAGCACACTTGCGAGAATAATGACTGGCGTACCAAACTAGTACTTGAGCAGCAACTATTAGTAAGTAAGTGCTCGTCATATTTTTTGCCTTTTTGGATGAAGGATAGTTTGGGACTCCCTCAATATGTTTTCACATATGTGCTACACTAAATAATCTAGGGTGCTGAACTACTAGGCTCGGGCCATATTTGTGTGTATTTGAACTTCAACTTCCTAGCTACCTAAATAAACCAAAGTGAATAATATGAGCAGGAACATGAGCAGATGTTATCTATGATAATTACTATGATATTACATAATTACAAATTACATAATTCTTAATATCAGTATTTAGTTAATCATTCATAGTAGTAACAATCACTAATGAGTAATGACGATAGTAATGTAAATTGCAATGATTGATGTGCCAGGCACACTGATGGGCACCAGGCACAAACACTTGAGACAGAGTCAGTAAAAACTGAAAATAATATGAACGCACATTCACAAATACTACCCCTCAATTACAGTTCCACTGTTGTGTCACTGTATATCAACTTGCTTTCACAAAAACTAATGCAGAACTAGCCGCTCCCGCACTCGCCGTTTCGAGTGTGCTATGTCCAGGGGCGGACTGGCACCTTGTGGGCCCTCGGGCAATACCTGTGATTGGACCCCGATCCACTGACAGCGGTCGGGGGTCCGGACTTTGTGAAACTCAAAAAGCATGCAATATCAGAAATTCTCGATAAGGAATACCGTGTTGAAATTTTTACACCAAATCACCCATTCAAAAAATAAGGTTGTTAGGTAGGTGATTGGAACTTTGGAAAAGTGGTAGAACCCTCACCCCCTATGGATTGGAAAAAGTCCTCGGATTTGGAGCACAATATTTTTCATACCGACCGATGAAGAAGAAAAACTGAAAAAATAAAAAAATAAAATATAAACAAAATCTTTTTTTCTTGGCCCTCGGGCATTGCCCGATTTGCCCGAGGGGCAGTCCGCCCCTGGCTATGTCGCCATTATAATAATGATATATAGAGAAGGTAGGAAACTCCCTTACGCGATTTTCGTCGATCACTCCTCGCTTCTTTCAAATTTCGCAAACTTGTCAGGCACTTACGACCTACATTTTTGTCTCGTTCTGCCCTCTATAGTCCACTGAACACGACTATGCAACTAACGTGGCCGAGAAGTGCCACCTTGCTTTGTAATGTGACTTCAAACTCAGAAGTTTCGCGGTTCGTGCCGATTCTGCAGGAATGTTTACCGTTCACGAGTCCGAATGGCGCCGAGTCGGGCGCTGCGGAGCGTGATTGGAGACTGGAGACAACTGGAGATGCGCAATCACGCTCTGCGGCAGTCGCCCGCGGGGAAAGTGGGACTCGTGAATGGTATGTACAAGGGTATACATTCCTGCAGAATCGGCACGAACCGCGAAACTTCTGAGTTTGAAGTCACATTACAAAGCAAGGTGGCACTTCTTGGCCATGGTAGTTACATAGTTGTGTTCAGTGGACTATAGAGGGCAGAACGAGACAAAAATTGAGGTCGTAAGTGCCTGACAAGTTTGCGAAATTTGAAAGAAGCGAGGAGTGATCGACGAAAATCGCGTAAGGGAGTTTCCTACCTTCTCTATATTATATATCATTATTATATTCACTCTCATTAGGAATATCACTCTCAGCCATATGAATAAAACCAAAAAAAGCTCGGAAAAAAACAAGTAAAACAAGCTTTTTTAAAAAGCGTAATAACAAGAGATAAAATGAAAACCAAAGGAAAAACAAAAATGAAGATGATAAACATTGAAACATACGGATTGAAGAAATATATGAAAGAATTATCATTTGCCGACTCGTGTTTTGCATTTAAAAAACTTGCATGATTGAGCTCAAAAGAAATAAGTTCAGTGACGACAGGTGTAATCAATGTAATATAAGAATATGAAAGAGGACTTGGAACATTTATATAAATGTGATAGCTATAATACTAGATATAAGGATGGTGAACAAATAGAACAGAAGGTTGGAGAGGGAACAAGCACAGGTTATATAGAAACAAGAGTTAGATTATGTGCGAAAAATTCTGGTGATTCGAAACACTAATATTTAGAGAATTGGAGGCGGCATGAATCTCCTTTTTTTCTAGATAATCCCCGCAATTCGATGAATCGAGTTCCTTGTGAAATACAAGAGAAGGAGCCAAGATACAAGATTATTATAACAGGCCCGTAGCCAGCTTTATATTTGGTTCGTTTTTAAATGTTGACAATTTGTGAGGGCGCGAAGCAACCGAGCGAGGGAGCATAGCTACCGAGCCGGGGGAGGGTGCGGGTAGATTTGCAGGATGGAGATTTTGCAATTATTACACTAAAATGGAGCGATCTGGTGCACAGGCACTTGAAGCGTTTCAACTGTAAACACACGCCGCCGCCATTGCGCGCACACTGACACATAAATATATAGCAGGTGAGAAAGCGCGATCCCAAAAATTCGCTCGACGCTCGCTGCATTTCCCACGATTTCAACACAAATACACATCCAACACGACTTCGCATCTTTGTTTCTCCTTCAGAAGAGAGTGTTCACTTGTTATAAAAACCATCAATGTCCTCTGTTCGTAACGAGCTGTGGTCACGCGGAATCACACAAAGACTGACGAAAGTCTGCTGCGTTCGCTAGCAACTGCGACCGGATGGTAACGAACTTTGCCCATGGTTAAAGGCGTGCGAAAGTTCGTTAAACATCGGTGCCGCAGGAACGCGGCTTCTCACCTGCTATATATTTATTGTCAGTGTGCGCGCAATGGCGGCGGCGTGTGTTTACAGTTGAAAACGCTTCAAGTGCCTGTGATCTGGTGCATACCTGAGGTGAAATTCTGCAAAATTTTCAAATGGTAAATTTTTTTTTTTTTTTTTTGCTCGGGGGGGGGTTGTGCGACCCACCCCCTGGCCACGGGCCTGTTATAATGCCATTTAATGGCAACACAGCACACTCGAAGCGGCTAGTCTGAATTAGTGTTTGTGAAAGCAAGTTATTATCAGTGTCGAGACATCACGTCGCGGCCCGTCAGGCCCGCCGCGACGAGTTTTGAATGCCGGGCCTAGCAGCTCTTGATACAACAGGCCGCCTGACATCTACAGCTATTTGATCACCGAAAATTTCGAAAACACTGAGAAACTGTTACTGTAAGAAATCGTTTATGACATAATTAACTTCCCAGCGGTATTTATTTGAAAACTAATCCGTGATAACCGTGACATACATCGTAAACAATCCGTTCGCCCACTGCAATCAAACTTTAGTTGGCATTCAAGAAACGCTCCGGGAATTTCGGAGACGCACAAGGTTAGCCACAAGTTCCTGAAATCAGTAGCAGCGATTGGCACATACCAAAATCGATGAAGAAGTGGGTGGAGCTTACTTTTGGCCAAGTGTAGTGAAACCCTTTACATTGTGATTGCTAGGGTTTATTTTAGCTGCCACTGGTACCGTGCAGCATGCTCACTGTTCACGTGCGCTAGGTTGTGGAGTAATTCTCACATCCCTCCCCGCGACATTCACGCTTGGATGTAAACACAATAAATTATCACTGGTAGTTATACTAAAACGATACAGTATACTGTTTTAAAAATATATTTAGAAGATTTAGGTAATATATCATGTTTGAATTATACAAAATAATAATAAATGTCTCAAGTTTTAACAACACGATGTTCATAAGTCACTGTACTCAAATCACGTCGTATTACTTACTAGCATGCAAACAGCAGTACAGCACCTCGATCGCACCACATCAGTTTAACCGGTTTCATCATATGTTTTTGAACAGTTTGGAAAAACTATATACATTTTATACAGGGTTAGCTAAATAAAAGCTCTCTACGTTAGAGCGCTTTGTACTGCTACAAAATACATTTACCTTGGACACACTCAACACAGACGGAATTCCCCAGTGCCCGTCAAAATTTACAGTAGCGTAAATTTTTCGTTTCACCAAAAAAGGTTGTTTCAGTTGTAAGCTAATGGACGTATCCTGAAAGTGGCTTTAGATTGCATCTGTCAAGTTATAATTTCAAAAATTTTTCTAGGCCCCCACGCACCACATAGAAGCCCGATGTGTACCAGACTACCCAGTCATCTGTCTCTCTGCTGTCAAAGGGCAGGGTCGTAGTTACCAAGGAGCCTACATGATAACACACGATGTGGCAGTTGCCTTCAAATTGTGAGCCCCACCGGCAAAGAAGCATAAACATCATACCGACGAGAGAAGGATAAAACCAAGGATTGATGTTAGGACATCGTATAATGACTAATAAACTAAGGAAAGAACATAATATGTGTTTATTTACTGTAATTGCTCCCACAAAATTGGAGGGCCTACAGCTTTGCTGCGCGGCCCTCAGCTTTTAGGAGCTATAGGCCCTGCAGGCCTACAGCTTTTTCTGCTCAGGTGGCAAACACTGGCTTGATATACAGTAACACAAAAGAGGAGAGTGCTAATTGAGGGTATACTAGTATTTGTGAATGTGCGTTCACATATTATTTCCAGTTTTACTTGACTCTATCCAATCACCAAGATCAATGCTGTCCAGGCACTGGCAGCAAGATCAAGCCGCACGTCACAGCACACAACATCGCGGCCAATTGACTATAATAATAACACGCAATTATATAATAATACTATTGTCATATATTATTATGTTGTATATATATAGTCAATGCGCCTGCGTGATGTGCTGTACGTTCGGGACTGTGATCTTGGCTGCCAGTGTCCGCAGCACGCACTACCTACATAGGCCTACATAGGCCTAGCACTACCTAAGATTTTGTGAAGTCCGGCTTTTCTAGATGCAACAAACATAGTATCCCAACAACTGTTAAGTAGCCGCTTACAATCAACGAATACGCTTAAAAAACACGCTTAAAGTAGACGAGGAAATATAAACAAGAATATACAAATTCAGGCAAGCACGTTCTTTTGGTTGTAATCAAGGTTGTAATGAGCATTGTAAATAGATGGCGCTGCGATGTCATCATTTTGCAAAATCCGGAAAACAAGCGAGCGCCTGCACACATTTTGCGTCTCATCGTCGGTCCTTGTTTCTGAATCAGTGAAACCGTTGTTGTCTGCGTAATATTTCTAATGTCTTAGTCAGCAAAACAGCTGTTTGTGTGAAAGTTACGTCCCAGAATCATCTTGTGTGTCTGTTTTCATATCTTGTGGTCAGGTAAGTTGGAGCTTAGCTATAAACCGGCGTTAAATGGCTGTGCAGGTGGCATTGCAGTGAGTGTTTGACAGTTGCGTGCGTGTCCGTGACCTCATTCCCAGCTCTTTTATATTTGGTGCGCTGCAGTTCACACGCTGCAGTTCGTACCAGGAGTAGGAGCGGTGCTCTTCTTCATTGCTCGCCATCTGATCGTGTGCCTATCTGAGAAATGGAGTGGACAAGCCAGTCTTGGTATCGTCCTGGTGCGTGTTTATTGTGGGTGCTTTGCAGTGGTGTGCATAATAATAACCCATTGGCATTGAAGTGTGAAATGCTTTTGCTAACTCACCGTGTTGCGAGAATGCACGTTTGCGGCCATGAATTAAGCATATTTTATGGGTACATACTTGCAAAATGTGTGCTGACTGCAGTTAGGCATTATAATATTATGATATTTACCACATACATGTAGTGATCTGTGGATTACTGCCATGCTGCATCGTATTTATGTACACAATATGGTATGGGTTGGGTGGGGATCGAATGGCATCAGTATGTGTAATCTTCCTCTTGAAAGTCCAATCTTTTCCTACACAATCTCTAATTAGTAATAGTAATGTACATTGTAGTTTGACTAAACAGATCAAATATGCTAGTGAAGAGTTTGTTGATTTTCAGAAATTCATGATTTTGTAGAGGAATGGAGTGGTTCCATCGACTGTAGTTCCAGGGTTATCTGCAGTGTAGCCTTTGTTTCAACAACGTGCCATTTTCAGAATAGTCTAGCTTGGTAAAAAAAATCCCAGACAGCAGCTTGTGTCTAAGTGGCTCTTGTGCAATGTGACACGGCACCTCATATTCTCACTTCTGTCAGTTTCAATTCTCACTGACTGATGCGACAGATGTAAATATATATTTGATTTCCTTGATAGACATTTTGGCCGAATCTTAGTTTATCACCCGGATTAGTTTATCACATATACGAGCTATATATACACGGGTCCCAAACTAGGATTGAGCAGACATTTGTATACATGCAATGATGCAAGTGCTGCGAGATAAACTGGTGTACTAACGAGCTGATTGTGCATCATGGTTATACCACATGGTGCACATGTATAGTGATATATATATACATTAATACCCTATGTTACGAAAACTCGGCTTACATAAATTCGCTCATGCGTAATTTGTAAATTATAATGACTAAACTCAGGGTACAAATGTAAAGTCGCTCTTATTGTAATTTTGTTAAAAGAATTGGTGGGTTGTTTTACAAAAAAGGTGGCGTGCTCATCGTAAAATTTATTTAATAAATATTTGGCTAGATACCGATGTTGGAGACTGGTCATCTAGATGACGTGTGTAATGTACTGCTATAGCATTAGACAGTTTGACGTACATGTGTGCTATTTATGAAATGGGTGTATTCCTGCAATCGTTCTCCTCTCCACGTAATGACCTCTGTTGCTACAGGGAGCTGTACACAAAGAAGATAAGCCATAAACGAAAACCAACTTTATGTAATTTTGGCTGCCAGGTCAGAGCTTGAAACACCCTAAATAGTGTTATACTTATAGTTGTTGAAAGTTGTTATAGTGTCCTTTCCAAAATTATCATGATACTCTGTTACATAATAATCAAAAATGCATTTACATTGTTTACTTGAATTTATAATTGCCCTTCTAATACATCTAATAATAGATCTAATTGATCTTTTCTGTGGGAACGCACCTCCAATTTTAGCTATGTACAGTTGAAGTCAGTAGGAAGACGTGATTCACATTACACACTTTCGTGTTGTGAACGTTTTTTTCTGGAATGCCATACTTCCATGATGTGGGTTATTACTGTACATAGTGCATTATGAAAACTTCCATTTCCACATATTGCTATATTTATTTAAGCATTCATCTATGGGTTAATAATGATAGATAATGAGGTATTTTCTTCTATGTACAGCAGGGTGCGAAATTAACGGGAGTCCGGAGTCAAATACACCCTGATTTACTGTCGGACTCCCTGATTTGACATATATGCAGGAGTCCGTGTGACTCCCTGAAAATTCTGCCATTCTAACTAGTTTGTTCCAGAGCACGGCCTCGCGGAATTACCGTATTTTTTCAGTAAAAGTCCAAAGAAAATTTGGCAGACGTGCAACTGCATGAATCTTAAAAATAAGCCCACATGTATGCGTTATTGTTAATATCTTTAATTTTGAACTTCAGAATTTTGAAATTCAGAGTTGGACTCCTGTGTTCAAAAGTTAATTTCTACCCCTGTACAGGATATCATGTTTCATGATCATATTTCACTCTAAATGAATGTTCAACTTCAAGCTGCAGGCATTTTTTCATTTGTGTAAATTGCAATGCGTGCTCCATGACTGTTAAGTATCTGTTAAATTGTGTTCATTTTAAGGTGTGATTGTTCTTTTTACATCTAGTTCGCAATATTTATAATAAGTAGTCATGGCTGTGATTGCCTTTTAGTTTCAAAATTGATGTGAGAAAGCGATAAACACATGGAATAAAATAATCATACTAAGCATTCTACATATATACTACACACAGCTTATGCATGTGCTTCAGTTCAAGTTTGTGCATGTGCTTTCATGTGCAAGATAGTGCAATAAATAGATCAAGTCCATGGAAATTTATTTATATACAGAAATATTACGGTACTGTGCAGAATATGATCATGTGCTGTCATGTAAAACTTGGTAGTCTAGGTAGTTAGAACTAAAGTAAAAAGTAGAGACTTAGTTAGCATTGAAATGGCTGAGCTATCTTGAACAAAACTGATACTGTTTTGGATTATCAGTATCACTTCTGTTCAACTGCAATATCTTGCTGATGCAGTGTGAAACGAAGAAGATTCTTTTAGTCACGTTGAAGTAATCTTTCTTGCTTAAAAATTTCCACAGTAATTCCATTCAAAAAAAATATCGAATTGATGAACGTCACTGTCAAATTATCAGTAGCTGGTGCATTTTAATGTTTGTTAATCGGCTTCGTGGTGAAACCGTGGGCGAGAATTAACGTTGTAAAGCGACGATCAATAGTATTAATTATATTTTCTTCTCGTGCTTGCCTCTGAATGCCACCACCTGTGTTTTCCTTGAAATCCAACCACTCTGCATCTATATTTAGAGGATGCTGCCACCAAAACTGTGGAGCTTGGCTCTCGTACTAAAACAACAAATTACACTGCGTCCAAACTGCTGCTGCTACTGCTGCTGCCGCCGCTGCCCGCCACCGCTGCCTAGGATTGAAGGCACACTGCAGTTCTGCAGTTGCAGGTTGCTAACGGGCGGAAGCAGCGGAACTCGGCAAAGAAGATGCGTCATTTCTCCCCTCAGGACTGCCGCCTATCTATGCTGCAGCAGAGCCACGGTAACTGCTCGCCTTATGGAACATGTGCGCGAGTTTTTGGGGAGGCGGTGGCGATGGTGGTTTTTTCATGTGATTTTGTGAGTCAAGATTTGAGTAGCAGCGAGCGTAGTGTAAGTAGGGTCAGAGGTCATAGCAGTGGATAATAATTCTTCACGTGTCGTTGTCTTTATGTGCTTAATATAGTGTGGCTTCTCTCCATTGGGTATCTTTATCGGTCAAAGGTGGCTGCTGCTTCTAAGGTCACTGTAATCGGAAAGGTTCTAGTCAACAAAGTTGCAAACAAACCGGGGCTGCCTCTGAGGACATTTCAGAAATGTATCCATAAAAAAAACTTGTTATAATTTTTTCAATTGTTAGAATAATATAGGAACAATAATCTAGATGTGTTTACACACGCTGATCGTGGGACCTTTTATTTGTTTCTAGCTTT